GTGCGGTGCGGTGCGGTGCGGTGCGGTGCGGTGCGGTGCGGTGCGGTGCGGTGTAGTCAACACGCATAGAAAGGGCTTAATTCATTTCCCCGCGAGATCTTTAATGCATATCATTATATTCTTCTCTACGAAGGTCTTTTCGATTTACGATCAAGAATCTCAATCATTCCTCAGGATCCAGTTCTCTTCATAGGATCCATCAGGTATGATAAATTTCTTCATGACACCAGTACATACAATCTTCTGTAAAAAAGGTGCACCTTTCCCCCTAGCAATGTTGGTCTATGCAGTTTTCATTTTATTTGCAGAAGATTGTAGAACTAATTCTTTTTATTGCTGTTCGTTTGCAGATATAATTTGGATCCTTTCAACAATCATAGCGATGAGGAACTTTGGACTGCGCTGGAGAGAGCTCACTTAAAAGAAATGGTAAGGGATTTTTTTAGACCAGGAATGAATGGATGGATGAATGATTGAACGAACGAACGAACGATCGATCGAGTGAATGAGTGAATGATCGAACAAACGAATGGAGGGAGGGAGGGAGGGAGAGAGGGATGGATGGATGGATGGATGGATTGATGAGGGTATGAACGAACGAACGAACAAACGAATGAATGGATGTAGGAACGAATAAATGAACCGTGACAAACAAACGAACAAATGGATGAATTAATGAATCGTAAGAAAACACTGTACTTGTCAACCAAAGCGGCCTGCCACCCAAAAATCAATTATGTCAACTTCAAGTAACATTGCATACCTCAAGACTTGCTGTAGATCTAAAGATGGRTCCTACAGAATATTGATTTTTCTTGTCTTCACATTCTAGGTGAGCAACCTTCCAAACCAACTCATGGCACCTGTAGTAGAGAATGGAGAAAATTTTTCCGTTGGTGAACGCCAACTTATTTGCATGGCTCGTGCTCTTCTGCGACACAGTAAGGTAAGCTGTATAAAGCTTATTTTTCTCACCAATGAGGGGGAAATGTATTTTATTCACTAACGATCTATATAATATTCGGTAACAGATCCTGATGCTCGATGAAGCTACAGCTGCTATTGATTCTGAGACGGGTGAGTGTTTAGAGATATCAAAAAATGTAGAGAGAAAAGGGGTTGAAAATATGGTATATAAGTTTGCGCAACAAATTACTTTTAAGGTGCTTGAAGTCTTAGTCAATAACATGTGAGTACCGCTAATCATGTTACTATAATTAGATGGTGCTGCGAGCGAGTCGCAGTAACACACAGCCTGGTTTACCATGGAATCGGGATTATGCTGGCGAAATATTAGTCTTACATTATTTTGTTGTTTGTTAGATTCTAAAATCCAAGACACTATTCGTGAATCATTCAGTGATTGCACACTGCTGATCATAGCCCACAGGCTTAACACAGTTTTGAACTGCGACAGGATCATAGTTATGGAAGAAGGAAAGGTACGAAAAATAAACTCACCTAACCTGCCCTGCCCTGCCCAGCCCTGYCCTGCCCTGATCTGATCTGATCTGACTTCACCTAACTTCTTCGCGCTCGGTTGCGCATAAGTCCTTAAAAATATCTTCAATATTTCTTATAATCCTTGTGGAATTCATTGGAACAGAAATGATTTTAAAACGAGCGGGGTTTGGGCACTTTTGTCGCGCAGGATCGAACTGGGATCGCCCCTTTGGGTAAAAAGTAGTCTTTGGACCAATACCCTGGGCTGTGTAGCTTAGGGTGTGGGTTGGTGTAGTGGTTGGGGGTGTCCCCCTAGCTCCCTACTCAACCCTTCTATTCCAAATCCCACCCCATTGGTCCATACCTGTACGCAGGCTACACGAGACGTTAATTAGCGTTTCTTTTCTCTCTAGATCGTAGAGTTCGACTCCCCCGCGGTTTTAGCCGCCGATCCAGAATCTTATTTCAGTAAACTACTACAAGCTGCTGATTTACAAAAAGAACAGGAAGCCCAAAAAGCGCTGGCAAGAAAACAAGAAGCCGCCGCCAACCTTCATCTAGATAGTCTATCACAACACCCACACTCCACGCCACATCATCCTATCCCATCTGTTCTCGTCTCTTCGCCCACTGTTGGCGAAATCAATCCGACCATTAGCGAAAATAGCTCGATAGTCGACGACGAAGACGTTGAATTGGACACGAAGTTCTAAATCGAGTCCAAGAAACCGGTATTTTCACGATAAAAATGATTTCCATCGTTAGAGTTTCGTAAAACTGACTGCTCGTTTTTGAAGATAATTGAAGGGCATTTAATGCTCTGCTTATACTTCTCGAATCGCTTAAGGAAGGTGTGGATGGGGTTTAACAATTGGCCTAAAAATTACTAAAATAACCTAAAATAAATAGAGGATATTACATGGGCGCGCGGAGATAACAAATTTTTCTTCGTGTTGAAAAGATCTCTCACGAGTGAGCGCAGCAAACGAGAGAGATTTTCAACACGAGAAGATAAATTTGGTATCTCCAAGCGCCCATGTAATATTCTGTTTATTATATAATTATCAATAAAATCAACTTAACAAACTTTTTATTATTATAAAAAGGTTTTATTTATAAACTAATAGCTTAAATACACATGGTAGCTATATTTCACATGTGAAAATAACACACATAATAAAATCACATGTGAAAATAGCAGTTTTTCGAAAGGGAGAAATATAGGTATTTTATGGATAATTATATGATAACCTTAAATTAATATTTAACAGTTAACTTATACTTCTTTATCTTGGTTAATATTATGGCGTTTGTAAAATTAAGAACAGTTAACTGACATTTGGCCTAAAAAGCCCATCCACATCCCCCTTTAGCATTCACGGTTTAATCCAAAATGTGGGTGAGTCAAATAAGCTCTTATTATAGCTACCTGGATGTGGCAAAGGGCTTTAAATCTAAATTATAAGCGCACGAAGTGTATTCTCACTAATATATTATATTTTGTAATGGCAAAAAAAAATTTTTTTCGTAACTGCACATGACATAATTTAAGAGTGTGTTTGCCGATGTTTGTTACGTACGTTCCCAATATATTTTATACACTCTGTACAGTCGTTATATTTCAGTACGATATTTTATATCTTTTCTATTTTAGAAGCCATCGCGGCATGCATTAATTAGCAATAAAAAACAGAAAGACAAAGAGAGAGAAAGAAAGAAATAAGAACAGACAGACAGACATATAGAGAAACAGTAAGGAAGAGAGGAAGAATCTACGTTTTCATTCATTTATTCTCTTAATTTTCTTTTGTTTTACTTCCATATGGAAATATTTTTTTCCTAAACACACCGACTGATTATTCTTGTCGTACGAGAAACTGCACGGCCGAATGAATGGCTTCTCAGCTGACATGATATTGAAATAGTATTTTATCAAAACTATATAGGTATTTATTTTGATGGTCCTTCACATTAATATTTCCCAACATGGAGGTCAAAAAGGAGGTTTTTCTCTCTTTAAATGTGAAAACTTTATYTTAATGAACATTTATCATCGTTTTGACCTTCGGTTGGGATATAGTGCAAGGGGTACCATAATACGCTTCTCTATAATGTACTTTACTTTCAAACTGCTGCATAGAACAGTTTTCGTATTACTGTAAAAAGCTCGCGCTTGTATACGGCAAGGCATACGCCAGACCAATCACAAATGCGTGAAATGTACTCTCCACTCAATCAAATAACTTGAACACGGCATGAGCATGAGCACGATGCAGACACGGTCACGGTACAGCCATACCAATCACATTGCACGAAAAAATTAGCCAGTCAAAATTCTAAAAAACATCACAGTCCCGGAGAGGCACGCACACGGCACCGAGTTTTTCACAAGCACGAAAAACTGCTCTAACTCATCAATCTCACACTTCACCTTCAATATAGTCACAAGTTTTTTAAATAAAAATTATGCTTGCAGGATTAATATGTTTCGAGTTTTCTTTGTATAGCTGTATAGTTGTGTCGATAGAATAGCCCACTTCCGAACTATGCTTCGCTTGTCACGCACAAAGGTTTCAATGCGAGGCTTCCTACATGTTGCTCAGTGATTCGTCGTGAAAAGAGAAAAGAAAAAAACTAATTTCGCACGTACCCTCGTACTAAAACCTTTGTGTGTGACAAGCCAAGCATATCTCGGCAGTGGACTATTTGTTCGTTAGTACAGGTCAAAAGTCGACGTGTTTACTCTTTGTAGATCAAGCGCTTCTCCCCGATAGTCCGAGCATTGCATCTTTCGCATTCACAAGTCACTCCAGCACTCATTCACACTGAAAATTTAATTTAATTTCACAAACTTAAAAGCTATTTAGTATTTACTTCTTTACAGTAAAATATTCGTTATGTAAGTCGTCGTTGAGCAAAACTCAAACTAAGATTCCTACGAGAGTTGTTCTAAGAAAATTGCTAGCTATCATTACGTTACTTCAATGAGTAATGGTTATACGTGAATCGATTCCATCAGTTTTACATATGAATCTCGGCTGTGGCATTGATAAATTCATGCGTTGGTGGCAGATTGAACCTTGGCAAGCTACCAACTTTCAGTTGATAATCTTGTAGCAAATACATGGCCACTTCTCGAGGTCTGTCACACGGTAACCATCGAACATAAAAATCTTTCCATCTGTTTTTTGCCGGTCCACCCAAATATGTACCAATCGATAACCCATCGTTGCCGCTAAAATGTGCTGTCAGGCAATCACAGATGTGGCTTGGTGCCTCGTGGCCACCGATGTAGATGATTTGAGTGCCTTCGCGGATTTCGTAGACTCCAGGTTGCTGTGTCGTCCTCCTTCCAGCAACCACGAAGCTGCGCAGAGCACTAACTAGTGGCTGAGAGTTCATTTTTTCGCGGTAGAACTGTACTTTACTCAAGGCGTCTTCCGTGAAGAAGTGCTCGTAGGCAACCAAATTGGTAGTGGTTGTCATTGTTAAAGATCTGTTGAAATAATGAATGTGATATTAACATTCTATTAGATCTGCAATAATTGTAGTTGGATCAAGAAAACAAAATGTCAACAAATTCATTTACTTACCTTTTTATTTTAGGCCTTTTTTCTTGGTGAAGGTATTTGTTTCAAATAGTTATCAACCGTTCAACTTACGCGCCATCACGCACGTGCACAAGACAAATTCTAGCCATAGAGGGCTTCTGCGCGCGCTCTTATTATTATTTTTTGCGCGCGCTTAATTTCCACAGGTATACCATGATCTGCTGTGAGTTTGTTTCACGTGTATGAAAATCGATCAAATAAAATGTCTTGTTTTCTTTGTTTTTGCTTTTGCTTTTGACATGCGAACTCTGTGTCTCCGAGTTGCACTCTGAAATTTGGTTTTTCGCTGCCGTCAATTAAAAATATGAAAGGTACCGACTGATTAGGTTTGATTGACAGCAGCGAAAACACAAATTTCAGCGTGCAGCTCGCAGCTAGCGAGTTCACATGTCTATGAAAATGGCAGTAAAATTAACAATAAAACTAATTTTCAAGTAAACTATTGATTTTTTTGACACTTTATTACGTCACTTCACATGAACAGTACAAAAATGCATAAAGAAAATAAACGAACAAAATATAAAAATGAAATAAACGTTCATTCCTTGTCCTTGCTGCCATCCTGATCGTTGCTACCATCGAAAAATTCCAGGATTTTTTTCACTTGCTGGATACAGAAGATGAAGATAGAAGAAAATATAGCAAACGCCATCCACTGTCGTCGGAAAATAAACAGTAATATGATCAACACCATGGCTATCACGAGAAACCAATAGATACTTTTATCGCTTTTGGTTCTTTTAAGAGGCAAAGCTGCTGCTTTCTTTTTCTTCTTATCTTTCGGCTCGACAAAGTATTTGTCTTTTGTTTGCAGGTAATGTAGCGAGCTGAGGATGTCTTTAATCTCGGTGAATTCTTCAGCATTCCCAACTCCCATTTCTGTCAGCTGATGTAGACGATTTGCAAGCTCCTTCATGTGCTTGGCTTTATTGATTTCTTGAGTCTGAAGAACTTCAAACGTGTTGTGGCAAACGATAGGAGGTTGTTGAAGTTTCAAACAAGTCACCTTCTCATAGGATCCAAGACTTTCTGTTGTGAGCTTTGCTAATGTCAGCTTTGCCTCTTGCAGTACTTTAGCAATATGTTCTTCTTTGATTTTCTTCCTGAGATGGATTTCTCCACCTTGAACGTCACGGCTTGCTCCACCTTCAGGCTTATTCCTGGTTGATCTTTTAGTGTGTTTTGTTGTTTCCTGTGTCATCTTTGGACCAGGTGATGCAGTAGTGTTTCTTCCTCCACTCTTGACATTCGCTACTGGACTTTTTCCTTTCCCAGCGTAAGGTTGCGGTGTCATTCGGCCACGAGGCGTGACGCTAGATCCTCGTTTTCCATGCGGAACTCGACGCTCACGATACTGATCAAAGTCTCGCCCAACGTCTGATTTTTTTAGTCTCTTTTCTCTCTTTGATTTCTTGGCAGACTTGCGCTTTGATTCCTTTGGTGTTTGTTTCTGGTACAAAGGCGGACTTGCAGGTTTCACCACATACGTTATTATACCTGGATCCAGACCCGCCCTAACAACATCCGCATAAGTTCTTTTACTTGACATTGAATCATCTTCGCTTTGCAAGAAGTCGCTCCTATCATCTTCAGGTTCACTATCTGGTTCGGATGCTTCTTGATGATCGGAATACATGAGCTTCGTCTGTTCTTTTTCAGAGTAGTTTTTGAACTCCATCAAGTCCTCAGCCAAGATGCCCTTTTCCCARATATCTTCCTCTTCTTCTCCTTCAACATCTTCTTCTTCAACATCTTCTTCAAATGAATCTTCATCATAATCATCCATCTGCGCGTCTTCATTTTCAACATCTAGCATTTCTTTCGAATTTTCAAAGCACTCATTCTTGGTTTCAATGTTAGGCTGTTCGTCAGGAACTGAAAAAACTTCTCCATCAGTTTTCTTATCTGGTGTAGCTGTGACAGGACGTTCTTCTTTGGTGATGTTCACATTCTCGTACGCTTGAAGATTGCTTTCACAGCTGTCATGTCGCAACTTACTAGATGCTTCCATTGAATGATCATGACAAGACTCCACACTTTCTCTAGATTCAGTTGTCGAGAAATCGGAAACATCATCATCGCTTTCTAAGCTTCCAGTACTAGGCACGAGACCGCTTGGGGCTGGAATGGTACCAATGGTTTGGGTAGCTTTAAACTTTTCGGTATCAAAGCTGGTGTCTAGGGACTTGGAAAAGTCATCCTCACTGACATTCTGATTATTGTCATCGCTTCCAGAACCCGATAAGATATCTGCCAATCCAACTTTAAGTGCGTCTACGAGCTGACTGTTATGATCATCAGGAGTTGTGATCTCTTTAAAGAATTGCGCCGAGTCTGCAAATAGTTGTCTTTCAGTTTCTCCTAGCTCAGGAAGTTTTGGAGACTTACGGGTTGCGATCTGGTTCTCGCTCTCAGCTTCTGATGACTCCGAACTCGTAGTCCCACACGCGTTGGAATGCTTTCCCCACGGCTTGGAATTATTTTCTCCGATGGATTTCCTCAGAGAATCCGTTACATTTTCCCACGAAAATGTAGTCCATTGTGGAAAACAAGTGACTTCTTCTAGCGGTATTTTATTTGGATTATCTTTATGTTCAGCCATCAAAAATCAATGATTCCACGGGCTGTGCCGTTGAAGATTGTTTTGATGGTGATTCTAACAGGGTTTGTTTGTTGCCATACACAATCACAACAATAATTGATGGCGAAAGTCAATATTGTTACGTAAAATGTTACATAAGCTCGCGCAGTTTAATTTGCGCGCGCAGTTACCAATCGTAAAAGTAAAATTTATACGGCTTAAAAATGTAAAACTGTGAAATTATGAAGCAGTTTATGATAACTAAAATCAGTAAAAAATGCATTAAATTAACAGATGATTATTTTGCATTTTTAGATACTTTTTTAGTGAATGGTTTAAAAATTATGCCGTCTTAGGATGTCACAGCTATTTCGTCATTCATCCCTTTATGACGTCTCGTGTTCTTAGTTCAAAAATATACTTTCTACTGTGGAACAGGACTCTAACTCGGACTCTGTTTGAAACACTAATTTATTCTGAACTACTCAGAAGCATTAATAAGAAAGGTTTGTATCGCTTTTAGTAACTTACTTTCGAAGACGAAAACGACTGATGTAAGCAAAATCAAAGTTGATTGGAATTTTTAAGTTAACATTGAAAATATGCACGAAGCAAATGTGAATGAACTAAACAGCTATCTAACCTGCTTTTTCCCTTTCTTATATTAGTTATAACTGACGAAGCTCCAAGAATCAATCAAGTGTAAAATGGCGAGGAACACAGATTCAAGTGCACCCCAGGCGTCTATGGATTTGGCGAAGTTAGAAGAAGAACACTTAAGAAAAACCGCATTCTACCGCAAAAGAATGAACGAACAGCCAGTCCATAGTGCCTTAAAAAGCTTTAATGTAGAAGAAGCAGTGAGAATGTCTGGTGTATACGAAATTCATCATGAGAGCAATGTTATCTACATTGGCGGCAATCCTTACTTCAGCAATATCCGTGATTGTCTCAACGCCCATTTTAGCGGGAACGATGGATTGACGATTGGTTCATTCTTAAGTGGACCCGGAAAGAAAGAATGGAAGCATATAACTGTACGTTGGATGCCGTGCAATAATCCACATGAAGTAGCATTTTATTTACTAGAAGAATACCAAGAAAAACATGGACACTTACCTATTTATAACAATCCACCATCTTCTCCAATCACACCGCCTCGATCACAGTATTACAGCGATTCTGATTCAGATGATTGAAGCATCCTTTGTTCACCTAATTTTCTTGTATGTGATTCCCATTCATTTTTGATTATAAAAGAGATAATAAATCATTTTATTCAAAAGAATTTTCATTTGTTTTGTGATTTTTCCCGCGCTTTATTTGTTCCGCAACTCGAGTGTATTTTCCAATGATCTACCGCTGATTTGTACTATATCGCGGTCACTCAAAATATTGGGCGCCATTTTCGTAAAAGTATAACCTCCACTTTATTTATATATTTCGCCTTTATTTCTTGGGGTTTAACCAAAATGAAAAACTAAGCAAGAAAGAAGAGTCTTTGTTTTATCTTCTTGGAAGCGTATTTGTCTAAAAATGGACCGTTACGTCCGTGTAAGGAAAATTGGCGAAGGTTCGTTCGGGAAAGCTCTTCTCGTCAAGAAGAAAAATGACGGCAAACACTATGTTATAAAAGAGATAAACATTTCTAAGGTACGTTTGGAAATGCTGAATCACCTTAACTATCAAGGCAATTGAATAAATATGGATTGTTCTTGTAGATGAAGCCAAGAGAACGAGAAGAATCGAGGAAAGAGGTGAGTAGAAGGGTGAAATATTCGGGTCGTGAATTTTGCATGTCATTAAAATACAAGCCGTTTCTAAGTTACGGCCGTTGCAGAAAATGGCTTCCCACTTGAGCTGTCTATCCTTTCTCGATTAAAAAACCTTTAAAATACAAGATATTTTAACCAGAATTTGAAATTTATGCCTTAGAATTCATTCAATTATATCTTGGATCGCAAAATGGTTTTGATAGAAGATAAATTTGACTATTTTGAGTGCCATCAAAAATATCGATATGTCAGTATGATTCATTCGTAGAACGTGTCTCAGCAGATAAATGCATGTTTGCCAACACTTTTCATGTCATATTAAGCAGTTTATCATGACTTCCTGGTCGTATTTGGTTTAATTTCACATGCATAATTTTTTAACCCTAACCCTTGCCGTTCTAACATTTTTGGGCAAATAAATAATCGCGCAACTTAACATTAAATGGTCTGTAGGCCCTATCATATGGACCCCTGGACTGTGAAGCACACCAAAAACTTGAAGAGGGGGAGAGTTGCTTAGATTGGATAATACATTACAGACTAGTATGCATAAATACCACATGTCTATGTGTGTGGAGGGGGGAGGGGGAGGGGTGGTGGGGCTTAATTTGACCATCTCCCATCTGCACTTCCTTTGTCCGCAGTTTTTAATGTTGTATTATTGGTAACAGTTTTTTAAATTTTTTATTTTATTTTTTGTAATAGTTCTTCTAGTTGAAATGATTTGTGAATAGTGCCTATTGTATTGCTAGGTCAAAGTTCTCTCTCAGCTAAAGCATCCTAACATTGTGACATACATGGAATCTTTTGAAGGTAAAGTAGAGAACCCAGATCCTGTATGTCGGGATGGTGGGAGGGGCAAGCATCCAAACCCCCTAAACCACAAACGAACCCCTTAAATGAGAAATGTGAACCTCATTTTTAGGCCATCTCAATGATATTGAAGCCTCTAAGGGAGAATAATGAACCTAAGATATAAGATAATGTAGTACCTGTCTGGGAAAGAAGGTATAATGTAGCAAAGCCAAACCCCTGAACCCCTTTCCTAAGAATCCTGGATTTGACCCTGGATTGAGTTACCTAACTATATTGCTTATGAAATCCAGGTTGGCTCTCTTAGAGCTCAGCTATTATTGAATGCATTTATCCATTTTAAGTTTAAAATTTTTACTGTGTTCTGAGAAAGAGAATGAGAATTGGAAAATGAGAATTTCCCGCATCTGTTTGCAATTAGTTCAAAGATGAAATGCTGGTACATGTAAATTATAGTCAATCATTTTATTTTACTTATTTTTCAGAGATCGGAAATTTATACATTGTGATGGATTACTGTGATGGAGGTTGGTATTGCAACAGAACTGAAGTAGTAAATTTTCATTAAATTACCTTCAAGGTAATGGTGTTGAGTGATGTCATCATGACAGTGTTGTAAGTTATTGCTGTTCCTGAAAAAAGTTGTTATTTTCATAGTGGCCGACATTGCAACAACTTTTTATAATATTAGCAGATTATATTGTTTTACTTAAATTCATGTGATGTTTTTTCTAGGTGATTTATATAAAAAGATAAATGGTCAACGTGGTGTGCTATTTACTGAAGATCAGGTTAGTTAATTAGTTAATTAGTCAGAAAATTCGATTAATGGCTCTCAAATGCAATAAGAGACATATTATTTTGTTTTGATATACATTGAATAGACTGCTCTTGGATGTACATTGTCAAGTTTTGCAAATATATAGACATTAATTTATTTATTGTAATTCTGGAAAGATTTTTTCGTGTGCAGTAAATAGAATAAAAAAGTTTAACCCTAAAATAATCTTTGGGCTGATCTACTGTATATCAGGTCTTGGCTAACTCACAGACCAAACTATCAATTATTTTGTGTAATATGGTCTCAATGTTGTGTGATTTGTACTGTAGGTAATGGACTGGTTTGTGCAGATTGCTCTTGGAATGAAACATGTACATGATAGGAAGATCCTGCACAGGGATATCAAGTCTCAGGTGAGCTGATATTCCACTCTTTGTTGATAGTGCACTTGCTGATTATAAGAACTTTGATTTACTTTTTATTGAATTTGAAGTTCATCTTTGAAGTTGCATTAACTGTAGATACAATAATTTTGTTTTAGAATATTTTCTTGACAAGACATGGGATAGTTAAGTTAGGAGATTTTGGTATTGCAAGAGTATTACACAGGTAATTCAAATATGTGGAGGTTTTCTCTACTAGTGTATGTCTAATTTATCCATTCTGTCAATTTATACGATATTCATGGTGGTTTTAATGGATGGAGGATAACCAGGGAACCTGAAGAAAAACTATCATATATATGATGTTTTTTTGCAAGCTTCTCTCCAYACTTATGGATTTATGGATGGAGAAAAACCAGAGTCAGTATCCCCCCCCCCCCCCAAAAAAATCAGCCTATATATGGTGTTATTTTGTAAGGTATCCACACTTACTGCCACTCAAATGTTGGTTTTACGGAGGGAGAATTTGAAAAACCAGAGTACCCAGGAAAAATCCTTGAGACAATGGATAAAAAACCCTGCATCAAACAAAGTGAACTACCAATTTTCATCGTCATTCAATAGTTTGTCTGTTAATTTATATGTGTGATTGAATCTTTATSGACAGTACTGTAGAATTGGCCAGAACATGTATAGGAACACCTTATTATTTGTCACCTGAGATAGTAGAAAATAGACCATATAATAATAAAAGGTTGGTATAAAAGTGTATTTTATATATCATAACATTGTGCAACGTGGAAAAATTATAACATACCTCAATGGGCTCTTATAAAGAGACTTGAAAAAGAGAAGAAAAACTGTTTTCAACCATAATTGTGTTTTCTTATGGCTTTTACTCCCACTTTGTTTTCAGTGATATTTGGTCTTTAGGATGYGTTCTTTATGAAATGCTGACCCTTAAGCATGCTGTAAGTAGAGTTCAATCAAACTGCTCTTATACATTAAAGGTTATAAGGATTTTATGCAGGATGTTCATGGTATCTATAATTGATTGTTCGCACATGAAATTGTAAAAATTAATTGTATTACTTATGATTGTGTTTGTTAAATCTACTAGTTAAATATTTATATGATATTTGAATATGGCTCATAATTTTTCTTTCTGTATATGATATYGTTTTAATGTTTTGATATGTTAAATTATTACTTTCTTAAAGTTTGAAGCTGGAAACATGAAAAATCTGGTCCTAAAGATCATAAGGTACAGTTGGTGTAGAGAAAGAAATGTTAAAAGTACTTAGCAATAAAAAAGAATACACAAAGATAAACCCATATTTATGTAATATTCAATTCATAGCTATTATTTCTTTTTATTTCCTTTAAGTTTTAAAAGTACACACTAAATGTAAGGTTCTAAGGGAGCATTCATTAAAGGAGGGTGTTGGACCAGAGTAATCCCTATAAACAGTAATGTGAAATCTTCGGACTCCTCACTCCCCTCCTCTTTATGTTAGTATGAAATATTTGATACCCCCCNCCCCCCCCCCCCCCCCCCCCCGCGACCTTTTGATTGAGTGGAAATTTAATGACCCTCCCCTGGATTCCTCCAACCCACGCTGTCCTCCTAAAAAAGGAATGCTCCCTTAGTGCAGTATTATGACCTTCGTATGTTACTCTTTTAATTTTCTAATTTGTGTCTAATTTGTTCAATTTCCTATCCTTTCCACCAGGGGATCATATCCACCTATACCTACGAGATATGGTGCTGATATCCGACTACTAGTTGCACAGCTTTTGAAGAGAAACCCTCGGTAATAATGAACCATGTATTCCTGGTTTGTTTGATGTGGTGGTGAAACACTAACAAAATTAATATTGTATCTTGGTTTACAGTGATAGGCCATCAGTAAATACTGTTTTGAAGAAGAACTTTATCCAGAAAAGAATACAGAAGTTCCTAACAGAGGAGGTAACTGTGTCARTTGATAACTAGTTCAATAAAACTTTGTGCTCAACTTTTAAATAGAAATTGGTTCATTTATCCCATTTGTTCATTTATCCTATTTGTTCATTTGTTCATTTTCCCAGTTATTCATCCTTTTTTGCATTTTTTCATTCATCATTTTCAGGTTATAGAAGATGAATTTAGCCATACGGTTCTCCATCGGAAGCCATTTGGTGTACCAGGTCAAAGACCATTACCACCCAAGCAAGCCCCAGTCAAGCCTTCAGCAGGTGAAGTATTTCTATACTTTGTGCTATTAAAGAAATAGAAAATGCACATGCCTGCTTTATTCATTATAAAGCACATGGTAATCAGGGAAAAAAAGATTATTATTATTATTATTATTTTATTAATTTAATGATTATTTTTATTTTTATCTTATAGCAGCTCCTAAGTTCAGTAGACCAGAAGCCAAGTATTCGGTGTCAGTTGCACAGAAAAAACCGCCAAAGTATTGTTCTCTTTACAAGTCCATTTTGATTCCATTTTCATTTTTCATTTGTTCAATTTTCTCATTTCATATTTTTTCATTTATTCATGATTAATGTTTGAAATCATAGGAAGCCTGGTTCAGGAGGTGAAGTTGCTAAAAAAGTAGTCAAAGACCGTATTCCGGTGAGTTAATATTTTTCAACGTCATGTATACAGTACTCTTGTTTTTCTGTTGAAGCCCAGATTTTTTTTGGTTGTTCCCAAGATGTTAATATTTTTAAACATCATGCATGTACTCTTGGTTTTCTGTTCAAACCCAGATGTTCTTTGGTTGTTTCTAAGATGCGAATGAATGAAAGGAACCTTCAGGGCATCCCATAACATTTCCCAGCGTGTTCATGTTCTGATCTATTTCACTTTTTACTTTGCAACTACTTTCAGTGCATTCACATTCTTGATAATTAAAGTTAGGTGAAACATATGTTATTCTTCATTGTTCTTAAGGCTAAACTTGCAGACAAGAGAAAGGAAATGGATGCAAGGGAAAGAAGAAGAAAAGAATTAATGCAAAATCAGGTACAATATTAAAAGGGARTAACTAATGCAAAATAATGTGGAAAAAAATTGAATAGATATTTTGAATAGTTCAACAACGATTATAAGGTTAATTGATTATAAGATTACATGTCGTGCACAATAAAGTATTCATCATCATTCTGTTACTAATAATTAATGATAATAATTTGTTTATCTTTTTTATGCAGGATCAAATGTACAATGAGCATATGAAGAAAATACAACAGCAGCGCTGGGAGAGACAACAACGTGAGCACATCAACAAAGCGGGGGAGCAGGCTTGGAAATCGACCATGAGTGTTGGACTTTCCCCAGAGGTAAATATTAYACAGAAAGTATATTCAATGTTTAATAACTTTATTTCGTAATAATTTGTAAAGTGACAAATGTTTGGATTGTATCTTTAATTGTCAGAAACAAGCTGCAAATGCACCCAAACAACATGTTGTGGTAGGTAAAGCTCAAAATCTTCCCTATACAATGTGTACATTCAAATAATGATAACAAGGGTGTACAGTGCATACAGTTGACAAGGGTGTATAGTGTGCACAGTCGACAATGGTATATAGTGTGCACAGTTGACAAGGGTATATATAGTGTGCACAGTTGACAAGGGTGTACATTGCATTCTGACAGTTGACAAGGGTGTAAAGTGAGCACAGTTGACTAGGGTGTACCATGCAGTCTAACATACAGTATATTTTTATTATGTGTTTTACAGAAGAAGGACCCACAACCAATGAACAAATATAAAAGACCAATATCTGCTCAAGAGAGAAAAGAAAACATTCCTGAAGCACCAAAGCCATCTAGACCTGTGTCTGCAATAAGTGCAAACAATGTTCCTCGTAACCCTACTCCTGCATGGGAGGCTGCAATGCAAGGACAGATGAATAGGTGCGACAAACATTAATTAATTAATTACTGGGAGGTTCTTATATTATAGTGCATTTTATACATCTCAATGGGCTTTACATTTTTTCRAGACCAGTGGAGGACTTTACGGGCTGCATATTCAGGTGTTATTAGCAACTGTGCAGCTTACAATCATGAGTGACTTGTTAGTACAGTGTACATTAGTGTTATGCCTCCAATTTGGGATAGCCTGTTGAACCAAGACACAATCCCCTACTCTTACACGAATAATTCAACAGGTTCTTTTATGTCCCCCATTTTACTGCAGGTTAGGAAGGGGAAGATCTTCTTGTTAAGTTTTTATTTCTATTAATTAAGGAATGGAACCATAATATAAAAATGTTAATGGTGCATAACTAAAAGAAAAAAATTAGCAATTTTTCCTCTAATTTTTGTTAATTATTTTAAATAATTCAGTATTTTTGATTACATTCACCTTCTATGTTACCAGTCATTAATTTTCAAAAGTGTTTGTTTGGTGTTAATGGTGGTGGTGCCACTGTGCCAATGAAAATAACGACCAATGGCTAATGCATTAAGAAATGATTATCTGAATGATAGGGAATATGCAGCTAAGGCAGCAAAACAATCCAGAATAAAAGAAGAATACTGGGCAAGAAAAAGAGAAGCTGCACGGAACAAGAACCGTGGAATGGCAGACTATGGAGGATATGTAAGTCATGAGCTGGATAACAATAATTTATCATTAATTGTTTATTTGTCAAGAAGGGCTTAAGATTAACAGTGGGTCAATGTCCAACAATTTCACACCAGAATTGGAACTTGTCTGGTCAAATCTTTACCTTGTGGGTCATTTTGGCCAAACATCATGAATGACTGTTAACTGACCAATGATTATTTTAAACCTTAGCCAAGTGTTGTTTAATTGGTGATAATTTTTTCTCTCTTATTATAGGACTATAAGCTGCCTGAGAAACCTAAAGGTAATCTGGGTTTGTTGAAGCATGTTGATGTAACTTAGTATTAATTCTATGCTTAGTATTGTATAATTATACTGCAGTAGATATAAGTATCAGATGCAGGGTCACTCATTGAATAACTTATTTATAGATGTTCTATACTCATCTTTTAACTTGAGAAGAGTCAATTGTTCATTTATTACTTTTGTTTCATATAAAGCTGCTGGAAGTAATGGCGATAGAAATGGAAATAGAAATGGGATAAGAGGTAGAAACAGAGAAGAACAGGTACAGTACAATCCATTCCATCCAAGTTTCATGTTTAGTATTTCTTTTAAAAAGTAATATTTATTGAGCCCTATATTCTCTGACTTCCAATCTTTTAAAGGATTACCTTGCAAGACTTGAGGCTATTCGACGCCAAAACTATGGCGAGCGCCGAGAAATTCAGAGGAGAATGGCAGGTATCCGTGGCCCACCACAGGATAGGCCATCACAGGTACAACCATGGTGATGAAAAGTTTCTTTTCCATCATTTTAATAAGTTAAAAAAAAAATTCCTGATGATGTGTTTTGTAGAAAGAGGAAGTTAARGTCCCTGGGGATCCAAGATATGATCCTGAAGCCAGACGAAAGAAGATAGCAGCCCTCAAGGTAGTGTCTTTTACATAGTTAAAGAATGTCAAGCATGCACACATGTCTCTGTACTGTGTTATAAACATGCTAAGAGCTGTATAGCCTGATATAAGCAAGCCAAGTGTTTCTCTTGCTTTTCAAGTACTCTATAGCTTCCAGAGTGTTTATATAAATAATACAGAGACATACTGTAAGCAGTCGTTTTATATTGCTTTTATAAAATATTTGAAAACAATTTTGCATGAGCATGTCTTTGTTCTCTAATAGCCAATCAGCAAGGAAGTAATGTCTTAGATATTTTATAATCATGAATAATAATGATCATACTTTAGTCATGTTGTCCGTGATGGCTAATTTGGTATATCACATGTTCTAGCAACAGGCCGAGGAACGGGCTGCAATGTTACGAAAACAACTGGATGAAAAAAAGAAAGCTGTGTTGGAGAGACTAAACAAGGCAGGAAAAGAAAAATGGGAGGAGGTTTGTTTCCTTACAGCATTACTTTTTGTAATAAATAAACTTGGTGATGCCCCACCATATATTGTTAAGAGATTTCTTATAAATTGTTATGGCCAACAGTACCATGATACAGAATAAGCCTGAAGCAAGATGACGTTTCACCCCCATCTCTAGACCATAATCCTTTTCACACTGCTTTTGTTTTTTAATTATGACTATTGTTCCTGTATTCTCTAAGGAATCAAAAATTTTAATACGAAAGAAGTTTAAAAACTATTATGGTATAGATCCAGGGGTAAAACTTTATCTTGCTTCAGGCTTATTGCATATCACGGCACACAAGGTCATTGTTTCACCAATTCTCAGATAGTACTGGCATGGCATAGCACATTTTTACCATATTGTTTTAAATAATTTCTCTTTCTATGGCTGTTAGTCTTTTTTTAAGTGCTGCTTAAAAATTCTTGTTTAACGGTTCATTATTGTGGTACATTTGTTTTAGGAGCAGAAAAACATGAAAGAAAAACCAAGTGCAGATGAAAGGTAATAATAATGATACCTCTGTGAAGTTGGCATTCTTCATTCAATGGACAGCTTGTTGCACAGTCCAGGAATTTTTTTWAATGTCTAGTGTAAAACAAATTCTAAGCAGTTGCCAGGCAAGGTTGATATCCACTGTCAGTACAGTTACGTAATGGGAATGGATGCATGTGCATGTACATGAGATACATYCTAGCATGTAAACTTAATGTTTCTTCAACCAACAGTAGAGCCTTCAGACATTGGCGGCCATCTTCAGGGATGATGGTATTATTTGTCATAACAGATTTTATGTTTTAGCTATTTCTAGCAAACTCTTTTTTCTCCATTAGTATTATGTATATATTATGTATAATATCATATATCATATTGAATTTATAGTTACCCTATTTTTATTTTAATTTTATTTGTTATTCTTTAGACCCATCCCCATGAAAAGAGCAGTACCAGAGGGTAGGCAATTTTTATTAATTTTTACAATCAAATATGGAAAAGTATGAATAATGTTTTTGCATTATTTACTGGTTTTTGTTTGTTTGACTGACACATTTTGATGGAATTTGCTATCTGATTTTTACCAAATAAGGCATAATAAAGCTTGTTTTGCATCCATCAAAAAGCCTGTGTATAGAGGTATACAAGTACGCTGTACATTAAATATTAAGGTCATACTTTCACTTGTCACACTGTGATACATTATCTATGAGTCCGTAAGTTATCTACTTAAACATACCATAGACCCCTTGCAGCAAAATGGAATGCAGCTCAATATGTGGAGGACATAATAACACAATAGGTTTCCCATCCTCAGGAGATTGAAATTCTTTTGTTTTGTCCTCCAAATTGAGCTGCTTAGACGTCACATGCAAGGGGTCTTGATAACTAACATAAGACTTAAATTAATTAATAACAGAAAAGCCTGTTGCTGCTGCAGTTGGACTTGAGACAGCCTTAAAACAAGTTGGTGTTAAGACTTTGTTCCGTTCAAATTCTGAAGTAAGTAAATTGTCTGCAAATAACTACACCTACAGTCTCTGTTTTCAATTTGTTTTTAAATAACTAATTGCTATTTTTTAAATAGAATGACATTGCCAAGGTGATTAAGGAAATGGACGATGATGAGGAGCCAGGCATGATGAATCAGCATCCTAGGAAGAAATGGGGTGCCATACCCTTCCAGCCCAGGCTTTTACCATTAGAGGTTACATCATCCCATATGGAAGGTAAAGGAAAATGGGGAATAAATGGGAAATGCAAAGTTATGATATTGCCATGGACACTCCTAACATAGGTTAGTTGCAGTGGACCCGGACGAACCTGACCTGAGAAACAATAATGAAAATGATGATGATTTATATAGTGCCCTTTCTAATATGTGGATATAATCGTAGGCAGTTTACATCGAGTTGTGAATGTCAGATTCCTTTTTTTGTGCAGTTTACAAAAATGAGAAGAAATAGTTAGGTGTGAAGTGTAGGCACTGAGGGTGGTCACTGAAGGGTTTTTWAAATTTGGTTAGTAATGATGAAGTGTGGAGAGACATGATGGCCATTTAGAGTGGTCATCCGAGCCTACCAGTTATAATAATGGCTTTGCACTCAACATCACTGGATGGCAGTCATGATAGGAGGCAGAAACAAGATTTAATCTGGTCTAATCTGATTTACATGAGAAACAATTCAGTTTCCCAGGGGAGAAAGGCTCTTATTGTTCTGTCTGCTGTCATGGCTACCATCATGTGATGGTGCAAAGCCTCTATAGCTCATCTAATCATCATGTTTCCCAATCAGCTACTAGTGCACAAGATGCAGTAATCAAACCAGGAGATAAAAACAGCCCAGCAAGAAGACAATGGGGCCAACAAAAAACCCAGATAGTCTCGGCACTAGAAAATATCAAGCTTCAGACAGCCACAACAACAGTAAGAGGCATTGATCAGAGTGATGCTGCTGTCAAAAATGAGAAAGGGTTTGTAGCACAACCTGGCAGTCCTAGTCCTAGCATAGGTCAAACTACTATAATACAGAAACAGCAAGATGTTACACCAAGCTCACCTATTGGTCAGACTATAACAGTCTCTAATCCTTCTCCACTGGCTGGGCTTCCTGTGGTGACAGGGTCTCCAGCTACTCCTAACACAGTGATCCTCAAGAAACCTAGTCRTGAGGAAACAATACCAGAGGAACAAGAGGAGAGAGAGGGACCTGCTAGTGTAAAGAAGGCCTGGGATGAGAAACCAACCACACCTTCTAAAGGTACGATGTGGTATACATCTGTATCTGTGCATACTTCAGTTAAAAAAAAAACGTTAAAGAAACAAATGCTRGAGAACCTAGAGAAAAACCCTCGAATCAAGGAAGAGACCCATAAATTTCTTCTCATTTCATACCAAGTCAAGGAATCAAACTTGAAACCTTTCACTATCTGACTATTGATTACCTCTACACACTATAATTTACAGCACACAACATTAATTTATTATGATTACGTTTTAGATTCTGCTGTACCTAAGTCACCACGCAGCCCAAAACCTGACGACAGACAAGCATATGATCATTTTGTCAGGTCAGTTATAATTGAAGAAACGAAAACTGACAAGATCCCAACAAAAGACGAGCAGTCTGCTGTAGTAGAGGACTTAAAAGTGGAGGATGTATCTGTTGAGGAGTCGTATGTATCATTATTATCAATCAAAATATCAAAAAATATTTGATTATAACTTGGTTGTTGAGCATTCAATATTTCGGCTATTTCATTTCAGCTCATTTCATACTGCTGATGGCTCACCAGAGAAATCATATGCTGTGATGCTGAAAACTGGAAATTTTGATACAAATTCAAGGGTAAACAAACTTTTTTAAATATTGCCAAGGCTGCTCGACTGCTGCAGGTTGGGATAATAATCCTTATTAAGCCTTAAAAGTCTTGATTCCCTGACTGAGGTAATCAAGGGTGGCATAGTGGTAATAACCTTGATTTACACTAGGTATTCCTTTTAGTGTGAATGATACACTGTCAACAGGGGCCCTATATTGTTAATGGATGATAATGGTGATGTGGTTGTGGTGGTGGTGGTGATGATGGTGATGATGAGGATGGTGATGGTGGTGGTGATGATGATGATGATGATGATGATGATCAGGATGGTGGTGGTGGTGGTGGTGATGATGATGATCAGAATGGTGATGATGATTGATGATGGTGGTGGTGGTGGTGATGATGATGATGAGGAGGAGGATGGTGATGATGATGATGATGTGGTGGTGATGATGATGATGTTGACGATGATGGTGATGATGATAATGAGGATGGTGATGATGATGATAGTGGTGGTGGTAGTGGTGGTGATGATGAGGATGGTGATGGTGTTGATGAGGATGGTGATGGTGATGATGATAGTGGTGGTGGAGGTGGCAATGATGATAATGATGATGATTAACATTTTGCATTCTTCTTTACCAGAGATTACGAACTTGCTCCATGCCAGATCTGCGTCTGTTATTCACCACACCTCATAAAAATACATTCTTTGAAAAAGATGAAGATGTTCCTGACAATGATGATCAACAGGATGATGTTGGTGATAATGATGTTGATGAGGAGGGGGAGGGGGAGGGAGAAGAAGAAGAAGAAGAAGAAGAAGAAGAAGAAGAGAAAGAAGATGATGAAAATGACGGAGATGATGAAGAGGAAGGAGAGTTTGGTGATGATGATGAGGAAGAGGAGGAATTAGCTGAAGTAAGGTAAGAAAGAAACTCTACATCATTTAAGCATGTAAAATAACCAAACCATTCTAAACACAGGATCTTTTATCTAGTGATGAAGAAGAAGAGGCAGAAGAATATGAAAACATGTTGGCTTCAATGCGTGATGTTCTTGTCAGTTCTGGTTAGTTTTCTCAAACTTTTCAATAATTAATGGYTTGCAATCATTTTCAAGAGAGTCCAAATACATGTACATGGCAGCTATGTATAACTTAGTGGTATTAGCAGTGGAAGCTGTCGTAATAAAAAAAACATTTTGTTAATTATCATCAACATAGCCATAATGATGTAACATGCAAACAAAGAATGGCTCTTTAGATTAACTGTCCGAACTTAGTTATACGATCAATTTTTTTAGCTCRTTCACCATCTCCAATGAAGGCAGTAGGGACTGTTCAAAGCATGGACTGGGATCCTACTGGTGACACAGCTTCTCCTACAGGTACAGTACTGCTTGTTAATTACATTACTGCCTTTTTTTTTGACTCATTGTGGGCCTATGCTATTATTTGGCTCATTTGCATAAAAAATGTTATAGTCCTTCAGCCTGCTTTGCACACTGTGTTGTGAAACCAGATAAACCAGTTTACTAGTCTTTTGCATAAAAAACTGCAAACTAAACCAGATAAACCAGTTTGTTATGCCTCATGTTTCGTGTGTAGTAATTTTCCTTGTATTTGCGTTCCTCCTTTGCTCTTTGTAAACATCATTATTTATATTTCTTTACAACAAATTCTCTTTTATTAGTTTTACCTTTGCTTATTACTGTGTCCATGAGTCGTCTCATTGAGACCTTTGATTTGTAGTTATGTTTAATTGTTAGATTTTTGTTTAATGCTTTCTTTCACCTTGTAGCTGATGATGCTGATGGACCCAAGAATGATGAAAATGGTAGATCATCAGAGCTATCTAACCTCAATGAAGACTGGGATTCTGGTTAGTGCTTCCGAAAAGATAGAATGCTTTAAACCTTATTTTGCAGCTCCTATACATCTATGTTATTTCCAGTGGTTAAACTTGAACTGGAATATTATGTTGCACTCAAATATACACTCAAATAAATATTGCAGATTACAAAAAATACAAGCAGTGCTATTAGTTTGGCATGCATTAGTCATTAAAAAGTAAACTTTCAAGTTTACCCCMTCCCTCCCCTCCCCTAAAACTCCATACAAAACATGGCTGATTTAAGTTACAGAATACTAAAGGTTCAAATGATAACTTATTTCTGCAAACCCTAAGGTGAAGGAGAGGTTGATGGCGATGAAGATGTTGAAGATGGACAGAAAGAACAAGAAGATGACAGTGTATTCCAGCGTCTAGAAGAGTCACGCCTTGCACTAGAACAGGAGCTTGGCTTTGATAGGTTTCTTAGGGTTTACAAATATCTACAGGTATGTCAGCGTCTTGCTCTGTGATCACCATGGTCTTTGAGTCTTTAGCTTGGGCATAATGTTTCCCAAATTCCCTGAGTATTATTTTTTGCTTAATGGTTTAGCATGAGAGGAAAGAAACATGCATACATCTGAGACCATACATGTGTCATTCCCTAGAGTATCATTTCTTTGTTTAACAGTTGTGCATGGGAAGACACATGAATTTGGATAGAACTCAAACAAGGAATTTTTTCTAAAGAGAATGACCATTAAATATATGTGGTTCATAATGGTTGGATGTCATACATTACAGCCACATGTCAGACGACTTTGCATGATATGAAATCAGCTGTACCTAAGAGATTCATTGCATGTTTTTCTCTTCATACTCTAGGCTATTCAAGAGAATGAAGATGAAAACGAAAATGCCAATGTTGGTTCATCAGAAGAGATAACAGAGTTACTGGGTGATAAGGAACATTTGTACCCCAAGATACTGTACCTGGTCATTGCCGACTCTGCATACAATGAAGGTGAGGACAATAGTGATACCCTACCTAYTCTTACCTTTCTCCTAACCCCTCTCTCCTCCCCTGCTAGTTTTTATGTGATGTTTATACCATGTTAGGTACTGTATATATATATACACTAATAATTATTCTGTTTACAGATAACCAGTAGCCCTGACCRTCACACCTTGCAAGTCAGAACTACTAAAGTGGAATAGAATCTTTTAAAATTGAAATCTAGATTGATGAAAACGGAATAACCTTGGGGCTTCTTTCACGTATGTAATGTTGGTTTGATCTCTTGTTGCCAGGAAATAAATCAATTTGGCACAAGAGAATAAAAAAAAATTTACATGCATGTATACATGAAACACAGTTAATCGTACAGTAATGAATGTGATAAGCAAAAAATATTTGTAGTGTATTCAAAGTTTTAATCAATGTCTTGGACTTATATATACTAGTAAGCACATGCACTACACCATATATAGGTAGCCAGTCAAAAGACAGTGTGTCAAAACACAGACATCTGGGAAATTAACATGGATTGTATATATGATTTGAACCAACCCTTTTATATTCTTAATATTCATTTGATCTCACCCAGAGTCCAGAGTTGGGAGTGTATTCTTTTATAGGATATTTTTTAGTTTACTGTAGAATAATTTACTACACTTGCACTTCTAAGTTAGCTTGCAATTTATTTTACTATAAGTACTCTCCTATGAGGCTTAAAAGAAGGTACTTGAATTGATTTCATTTGAAAGCCCTTTATAAGCAGCTGGGATATCATTTGTTTTTTGATGTGTTTGAAAAAGCAGTCATTCTTAGAAAATAAGGTGCACTCGAACGGTGATGTATGGTAAGAGGTTGCTAATAGATTGATTCTGAAATGTGATGATCACAGTCAAAAATACCATGGGCAGCTGTGGGAGTTTGGCAATTTCAGGCAAAGTGCTTTGTGTATTTTATTTAATTTTTGTCCAAAATTGCTTCTCTATTGGCCACCCACAATGCTTTCCTTAACAATCATTACATCTTGGAATCAAACTTTTAAAAGACCATACTCACACTAACTTGATTTAATTTATTGACCAAAAAAGTTAATATACTAATTATTATAGTGTGGAATATATGTTTAATATATTGATTTGTGAAAAATCCATTGATATTAACTATTAACAATATTTCGTTTTTACTTTAAATTTATTACTAATGATATTGTAACGCAATAAATACCAACAAGCTGGTTTATGATTCTTGAATTCTTTTTCTCTCAATCATATCCATGCAAGATAGAAATTATATCTCTACCATACCCTTATCATTCCTTGGGGTGGGGTCGTGTGGCCATAGTAGGAGTAGTCAGTAAACAGAGGTGTGTTACCACAGCCATGCTGCAGGGYAAACATTTGAAAATATCTCCATCCTCTTGGGCCCAGTTGTACGAAGAATGGATRGTGCTACTGTATCTGAGAGATAAATTGTATCCAGCGGATAATTTTATTGGATACCAGCATCGACTTTTTGCACTGGATAAGGATTTATCTGTCACATAGCATTATCCACCCTTTGCACAACATGGCCCAGGAAATCAAATCTCTTCAACATACAAAATCATTGCAGCACTGTTCCTGTCCTAAAACATTGCTGGCATGAAACACACCCCTCTATTATATGTTTATGTACAAATGTTCATCAACATGAGAGATTGATCAAGCTATTAGTATTAATATTATTCAATATATTATTGCTGAGCACATTCATTTTTAGTGGCTCCTTTTCCAACATTTATGACAGCGGGAGCCTGTCTTTGTCCCCTGACCCCAAGCACTTTCTTGTTGTTGACAGAAGAACTACTGTCTCCTGAGGTTTTGAACTGCACTGTTTTCTTCTGCTGGTGTGAACAGAACAAATTTGAATTAGAGATGCTTCATTCATCTTTGTTTTAATTGTGCCTTTTGAAGATAAATGAAATTTGCATGACTGCAAAAAAACTTACAAAAAAAAAAAAAAAAAATTCAGCATGCAGTTTGCAGAATATTGAGAATTGCAGTAATATTATTCAGTAACTTACCTGTAGACATGAGTTTTCTTTTGTTTCATCTTGTTCCTCTCTCTCCTTGTCCACTGATATGTCATTGTGAATCCTTACATGATTCGCTTGGGGGTCTCTTAGTCCACTTTGACTCTCTACCGGTGAACCGACACCGCCTTGATCAACTGCAGCTATCTCATCAAACAAACTAGCAGACATTGTACTAGTTTCCTGAGTGATACCATAAGCTTCTGCAGTCTCATCAAACAAGCTCTGTGATATCAGATTGGTTTCTTGGTTGTTTTCTGGAGTGGTTTTGGTCTTCACTATGGGAATTACCTTCTGTACTGGTTTAACAGATGCTGATGTTTTCGTTTCATTGTTGTGAGGTGGTACTGGTACATGTATTTCTTGTGGTTTTTCAGTTGTAGTGGAGGTTTCTTGAGGTGCTTTAGGTGCAGGAGAGGAGACAATCATCTCCAGTGGTTGCTGTATGCATAATATTTTCTTGTTGATTGATGACATTGATTTGCTTTTAGGCATTACTTGTTTGACGGTCTGTTTGCTTGTTTTGTTGGGTTTTACTTCAGCTTCTCCTGTTGCTTTAGTCTTCATCTCTGTCACAATAAATTAATTATTATGTATATTTGAATTAGCAATAAAGCAAATATTTACTAGACATAAAAATATGGATAAGCATTCAACCAAGTGCACTATTATTATTGTTACTAGAGTGCAAATAATATACCCGTGAAATAGTTAGGATGAAATAGGAAATAGCGCTTAATTAGACAATTAACATAGGAATTCAGTGAGGCATGACAAGGGCACAGGCGTTTACTAGAGTAACATCTCAATATGCAAATGAATAGATACGAAAATGCGAACATGTCAAATTATACGAAGGAAAAGCATGTACAATAAAATATYGTTTCAGTTTTTGTAAGTGTGTTTAAAAATATTTTTAAAAATGTGCACTAGTTTACCCGTCACGGCTCGCCTATTTCTTTAACTAATTAGACTTAGGCAACCAATGGCACAAAGTTAGTTATTAGTTAGCTAGCTATCTATTTCATGGGTATATTATTTGCACTCTATCATCATTATTATTATTATTATTATTATTATTATGAATGCACTCCATGGAGTGGCCATATAGTGGCTACTTAATTTGATTGAAACTTACAGCAGTCAATATTTGCAAAGAGAGGAAAACTAGAAAACCCCAAGAAACAACTTTAATTGTGTATGTTGACAAAATTTTAACTCAAGTGTATATTGGTAAGAGGCAGGCATTCTTTCTGTAACATGTACACCCCTAATACCCCATTGTTTAGTGTACAAATTACTAAACAAAGCATAATTTCTGTCACCCTATACAAGCTAAGATGATTGGAACCTTTCTAATGCATGTCACTCAGATTGATAACAGTTACAAATAATAACGAGACACAGACATGTGCATAAATGATGACTAACGACTAACTACACAAACCTTTCTGAAGTTTCATAAGTTTCATTCTTAGGTCTTCAATTCGAAGTTTTAGCCTCATATTTTCTGTTTTTAGCTTTTCTAAGTTGCTCTCAGCATTGTATAACTGAGTTTCTGAATGACGCAGCCGTTCACTCTCTCCTAACTGAACCAAGGTCTTGGTTTGTAGCTCTTTTTGCAGATCCGCAGTCTTCTTTCTGTTTGACAAATATCACTGATTAGTGTTTCATTGTGTTACAAATTCCATTTTTATGTCTTGTGGTAGAAAAGAAAAAGAAAAGAAAAGAAAAGAAAGGAGAAGAAGAAATGAAGGGAGGGAAACAAATAAATGAATGGAAGGGAAGGGAAAAGAAAGGAAAGAAACAGTGACAATAAAAGTAACCAAGGTGAAATATATATATATATATCTGTTAACACCTTACTGGAGTGAGCGACACATTTAGACCCCTCACAATAACTTTTTTCTACGCTTCACCAAGCCACGAGTTAAAAATGAATAGAAGGAAGTGATGAAMGAGAGGAAGAAACAAAAACCCAAAGCAATGGGAAAAGTTCAAGAGGATCACCCATGTGTAGTATATCCAACATCACTATTACTTACTTGGTATCCTCCAACTGTAGCTCCAAGAAATTAACATAATCTTTTTTGTCTCCAAAGTCAGAAAATGCATCGTGGAATTCCTTTAGTCGACCAGATAAGCTATTCTCAGCCTAATGAAAATTTAATACAATGTTCATTATTTTTTAACGGCATTACAACTGCTCTTGTYGTTACACACTGTTTGAGACAAAGCTAGGACACTATACTCCCGGTATGCCACTCAAACATATTGTATAAAAGAATATTCAATTTGAATGATGTTAGTCTATTGCCAATCAACCTGATCAACTTTTAAGGTATTTTTGAACTAAGATTAGCTTTGTTCTTATCCTTCTTCCAGACACAATACTAACCTGCTTTTTCTCCAAACTGTTGAGCTTTATATTCAGTATCTTGACCTCACCTTCTTTACGATCCAGAGCCTTTTGAAGGCGCTGTAACTGTGACACATCTGCAGTGTTACCTCTCACCTGCAGGAGTGCTGCCACTTGGTTCTGTGGGAAATAAGAGATTATTTTCTAACCTTTTAGTAAAAACATTACTTGGTTCCTCAAATCTTAATGATYATAGAAGCTTTGCACCATCAGGTGCCAAACCATAATACAGCTTGGACAGCCTGTGGTTAGATGGCAGAACAAAGAAATCCCTTTGCTCTCTGGAATTGAATTCTTTCTCATGTAAAACGATTGTATTGTTCCTGCAATCTAACATTGGCTGCCATAACGTGATGGTGCAAAACCTCTATACAGCAAATTTCCTGTGAGTTTAGAGAAACTTGACATTTAAAAATTAGTGATAAATTATGGTTATGTGAGACAATTAATTCATCCAGTGGATGGTGTTCATTTCCGTGATAGAACCTGGTGCACATTTAGAATGCCTGAGTGGTAAATGGTGATCCTTGTCCCAAGCAACATCTAACATCCACTTGGAGATAAGCAAGGGTGGTCTAATGGTATGTACATACAGTATTGATCTTACCTTCAACTTGTGTAAGTGTTGTTTAGTGATATTATGTGTCTTCAGCAGACATTCATGTTGTGTCTGCATAGTGAGGTACTTTCTCTCTAGTTCCAGCCTTCGGTCCTCCACCTGGGAACATGTAAATGAAGACATAATTATATTCATGAATTGCACTATAGTGTTCAATTTGGAAACTGTACAACATGCTTGGGTTAATTCCCAGTCATTGTCTCTGAGGTTTTAAAATCAATGCCTTTACCTCCCCAAATAGTGAGTTTCCTTTCTCCTTGAAGTTTTTACTTGCGACATCAGCTTTCAGTGAATCTAACTCAGCCTTCAACTCTCCAGCTTCTTGTCGTGCTTCCTACAACAGATCAGAAGTACATCATCATTTTGAATTGTGTGAAATTAGTATATTTGGGTCAAGGTCAGGTAGCATACCGAGGTAAAGTGCATTTGTTATTTGATCCAAAAAGAAAACACTAGCAATTATGGTCCAAGATATCTGAGATTTTGGTTACTGTCAATCAAAAAATATTAAATAAGGCCATTTGAAATTTGATTGACAGAAGTCAAAAACCCAGACATCTTGAGTTATGTTTGCTGTGTGACTCTACCTGAAGGCAGTTGTACCATGTTTGTGCTTGCCGAATTTTCTCTTGCATTTCTTCCTCGAGTGATTCATATTTTTCCAGGATAGCTCTGTTATCAAACTTTAGCTGTTCTTGTATGTTCTTCAAGTCACTCATGGCCATCACTAAAGAATCTCTTTCTAGCTGTAGATCTGTACATATTCTCCTCTGTTCCTCTAAATCAGTCTCAAAGTTAGCAGCAAACTGGAGTTGTTTGTTATATTTACGAACATTTTCCAGCATTTCATCTTGTTGTTCAATCTTCTCCTTCAGTTGCGACTCCATCATCAAATGCTTATTGAAGTCTGATTGAAGAGAATCTATTTCCTTGCGCAGTTCCTTCACTTTCCTCTCATTGGTTATCTGAGTCATTTTACTCTCTTCTTCAAACTGTTTCTGGAGTCTTTCCTTGATATTTTCGATCTCGAATATATGATGTTCTTTGGCTCTGGATTCTGTTTCTAACCTTGTTCGAAAAGTATGGTTTTGTTGTTTGATTTCCTAACCAAGAAAAATTATAGATATAGGATTAAACTCTAAGACTCCAGTATATATGACACTACAAATTATTAAAGATAGCAAAGAACAACAATCATACCTCCATTTTAGTTATAGCAGAAGTATACTCGGAGTTAATCTCTTCTAACTTGGATTCCAACTCCTTATTTTGTTCAAGCAAAGTCTTGCCAAGTTCACCAGCCAGTTCACGATCATTGTTGAGATTCGCTTTCTCTTCCTGAAGCAACTTATTCTCCTCTTTCAGTTGAAGGATCTCTTTTATCATGTTTTCTTGATCTTTATCCATTATTATTATTTTTAAAAGCTTATTTTAAAGAATCCAAGGCAAAATTCCTCCCAAAGAATTGCTTCCTCAACAACAAGAAATTTTAAAATGATTACAACTTTTTTTACTTTACTCTGATTGGTCTATTTATATTCAACTAGCCAATCACATCGCATTCGGACCCAGCCTTCTAAACCACATATGGTCAGCGGAGTTACGAACAATTCAAGATGGCGGACAAACATGAAAAATATTTTTTAACACAATATTCATTTTAGTGTACTTTTTATTCAAGTATATAAATAGTTATTCGTACATAAACTTCTGTAATATCTGAAGTAATAGCAGTCCTCCAAATGCATATGTTTTCATTGCTTGGTCGTTCACAGCGTGGTAGTTTGTCGTATTCAAAGATGCGAGTGATCTGTAAAAGGTTAGGGGAATTTCCAAAGACTTTGTATGCTTAGTTAATAGTTTATAGGCTRGGTTTAAAACTGTTGTCGTATTTTTAGATTGAATGGATCAAGAATGTGTTTCAGTTCTTCGTCTTCATTTTTCTCGAACAAAGTAAGTACAATTACCATGTTGTTTAATGAGTTGTAAGTTCTCCTTACTGGGGTTTAGAATTGTTCAAGTTTAAGTGCTCTGAAACCATTTGTTCTTAGGAATTCCCGTATATGGATTGAGAAATCCAGGATCATAAACACTTTTATGCAGCAATATATTTATAATTAAATACATTTCATTTTTCGTGTGTAGGAAAAACTAGAAATGTCTGAGTTTCCACCTGAAAGGATAAGAAACTTCAGTATTGTCGCACATGTTGATCATGGGAAAAGTACATTAGCAGATAGAATATTAGAGATGACAGGTAACCATTTAAACTCTAATTGGATTTTATTTCTTCATTGATGATAATATTGTCTATTGATGTGACAGCCAGYATTGACAAAAATGGAGCAATCTGATTGGTTAAACAAAAAAGGCATCTGACTGGCATTTACTTACCACTGTACCCTTCATTATGTCAAGTAATRAAAATATTATGACCCCTTGCAAGATACACCTACTTGCAAGAATGTTTTCATACTAAAATAGAACATAAGTGATTTAGTGGGATAGGAATTATATTAAAAAACAAAAGATCACTGAAGCTGAACTTTTTCTTTTGTCTTTTAATTTATTCCTTTCTCACTGAACCACTAATGTTCTAATATCGTATGACAACATTCTTGCAAGTAGGTGTATATGTAACTGCTAAATCCAAATATAGATGTTTTGCACCATCACTTGAAGGCAGCCATGTTAGATGGCAGGAACAATACAACATTTTATATGATAAAAATTGAATTCCCAAAAGCAAAGAAATTTTATTGTTTTGCTATCTAACCACAGGCAACCCAAGCAGTTTTATTTGTTATGGCAGGGAAAAGCAAAAAAACCTCTATTACCTTTATTATGTATTTCTCTTTAGGTACCATATCTAAGAGTACTGAAAATAAGCAAGTTCTAGATAAACTACAAGTAGAAAGAGAAAGAGGGATTACCGTCAAGGCACAGGTTAGTAAGGCATAGAATGTGGTTTGGGTTGCCTGTGGAAGCTATACAACAGGTAGCCCAATAGCATTTGGTTCTGGCAATTTTACATGCTTACGTCATATTAACTTTAACAACCAGAGYTGCACTGAAACAAAGCAATATTTTAATTGTTGACATTTTTAATGAGAAATAAACAGATTATTTATTGCTATGACAACACTTTAAGACAATATGTGATAAAAAGTGATACATCTGCTTTTATTATTATTTTCATAAAGACCGCTTCATTATTTCATAAGCACAAAGGACAAACTTATCTTCTTAACCTGATTGACACTCCAGTAAGTATCWGCTGTTAAAATAGGTTTGACTTTCACATTTATATATCTTATTTATACTCAAAGTTTAAACTTTAATGTGCTAATGACTACCACAAATCTTTAATTTTGACTTAATTCTTATTTTAAAAATTCAATTAGGGCCATGTAGATTTCAGTTACGAGGTGTCAAGGTCCTTAGCTGCCTGTCAAGGTGTGGTTCTCTTGGTTGATGCAGCTCAGGTATGACTTAGTAATGCGAGTATTTTATTCCTAGGGATGTAGTAACTTGAGCTTACCCTTCTGATTTTTTCCTTTCTTCCAGGGTGTTCAAGCTCAAACAGTGTCCAACTTTTTTTTGGCATTTAATGCTGATCTTAAGATTATTCCCGTAATGAACAAGGTATGTGAAATTTGATCTGTACTCACTGCATGGTTTGTATTTTAGAATCAATTGAAATCCACTCATTGCTTTATCCATCAATTTGTTATATCCTTCCCCCTATCCATACATTCACCCCTCTCACCCACCCACCCAGTCATCCATTCATTCATCCATCCATCCGTCTGTCCATCTGTCCGTCCGTTCATCCATCCATCCATCTGTATTTGTTCCATTCAGCTACAGTAGCCATCAGTCCATCTCTCCATCCACCTCTCCACCCCTTTCTTCTTTATTCATTCATTTGTTTATGTTTTGCAATCTATTTTTTCTGTTATTTATAAAGATTGATCTCAAGAATGCCAACCCTCAGCAAGTGTCTTTACAAATGGAAAAACTCTTTGACATCAACCCTGGAGATATCTTGAAGGTGAAAATACTGTTTTAAGTTAATTCAATCTTATTTAATCCATTAAAACCATAAATTTTTAATGTAACTTTATTAATTGCAGTTGTCTGCCAAACAAGGTGTTGGAGTTGATAAACTACTTAAAGATATTGTGGAAAAACTACCAAGGTAACAAAAAATATCCATGTCTCTTATAGAAAAGGAGTGCGTTTTMCATTGACAGAAAAGGATGTGTATATGAATTCAATATTGAAAGTCACCTGGGCTAGAGATTCTATTAACTCTGTTCTAGCTTTACTCATACTTAATTCTCTTCAGTATTGGAATAAGGAGGTACTTAAATAGTCTAAAATTAATCTAAGATTAATGTTAGACAATCTATCTCTCCCTTTTTCGTGGAGGGGGAATAATATGCAGGTTATATAGTTTTTCTTTTTTGTATTCTTTTATTCATCAATAAAGTTTATAGAGTTTATAAAGTTTATAATATGCACTATTTTCTTGAATTACATAGTTTAAGAAAATTCTCTGTTTCTTTAAAAATGTATGTAATATCAGGGTAATGCTTTTATCTTTATTTATTCTTTGTCTTCATAGTCCAAATGGTGATCTCCACAAACCTATGTCTGCTCTTTTATTTGACTCCTGGTATGATCAGTATAAAGGAGTCATCTGTCTTGTTGCTGTTCTTAATGGATGCCTAAAGAAAGGTAAGGTATCAAATATTTAATCACAAATAGTTTGTTAACTTCTTTATTCACCAATAAAATTTGAAGATGTTGAGATTCAAAATGTCACCTGTTTTTGTAGCTGTAGAGCTGCACAATACTGTGACGATATTTATAGATTAAAGTTTCAAAATTCTATGAATTATTGCAGGTGATGAGGTGAAGTCATTGCATTCTGGACAGGTTTATGAAGTATCTGACCTTGGTATAATGCACCCTAATGAGTGTTCTACTAATGCCTTGTAAATATCTCAGACTTTTTATCTTTATAGTCATCCATAATACATTTGTGGCAGTTCGCACAGTTTAATCACATTCAATGAGAAAGATTGCTGCATGTATTTAGGGGACTTTATTTCAAAAGGGTATAGATGCATACCCTAGATTTATATCTACTACACACTTTATTACCAAAAATAAATACACACACACCCACCCACATGAAAATACTTCATATTTTGACCTGTTTATGCATATTTTAAAGACACATCTATTCAACTGGAGTCATTTTATTGCTGAACCCTCCTTCCATTCCACTGCCCTATACAGGGATGTTGACCACAAAGAGGCAAGGGATGATGGAAATCTAATCTTCCAGCTTTCTTGCCACCTCCATCTTTTAGTCATGCATGTTAGTCTACTATATTTTCAAATTTCTACTTTCTCTGGCCACTTTTGATGTGAAAATCATTATAACTGAGGTCCAATATTTGATAGAAGTCTATACCTTATCCATCACTAGGTATGCTGGACAAGTTGGTTTTGTGATCACTGGTATGAGGAACAGAAAGGAAGCTCAAGTGGGCGATACGTTTTGCCATGTGCASTCCAAAGTTGATCCATTCCCTGGATTCAAGCCTTCTATTCCAATGGTATAGAATATGGGTTTAATGCTCAAAACTGTTACTTTATTGTAATGAATAACAAAAATAATTGTGTTTTCAAGTAAGAATAGAGGAATAGACCACTCGCACTAATAAGTCACATGATTGTAACCCATGATTGTACCCCCTTCTGGGCCCAGTTGTACAAATAGTTGATAGCACTCTCYGATGGGTAAATCTTATCTAATATTATTGGATAACAGTATCAACTTATCCACTTGATTAGAATTGGTCTATGGGATAATGTCATTCACCCTCCGCAAAGCCAGGCCTCTGAAAGGAAAGAGTACCTACAGTTAATATTAGCAAAAGGCAAAGTCTCAACATGCTTGTTGTATCGAGGTCAACATGATTCTAATCCTTGTTACAACTAACTAACAATCTTCTTGGTAATCTTCTTCGCAGGTGTTTGCTGGAGTATACCCTGTTGACATGTCACAATATGTTTCACTGAGAAATGCCATTGAAAAACTTACATTAAATGATGCTAGCGTAACTAGACACCCTGACAGCTGGTAAGTAAAARTACTCCCTGACCGACCACTTATGAATCACTTTTGGAAGTGATTGAGTTGTGACTGGTCAACTAGCCTTCAAATTTTATTGAACCCTGAAACAACCACTGGGCTGATCAAAGTCAGGGAATGGCTAACTCACAGGCCAAACTGGAATTAGCATGTTTTGTTTTGTGGAGGGAGGAAAACTAGCTGTTTGCCCTGAAAGAATTGCATTTTGTGCCAAATTTGGAGGGATTAGCTTGTTATAGGTTATTAAAAGCTTAAGTTTTCTTGTATTGTAGTTTAGCACTGGGTCAAGGATGGAGACTAGGGTTTCTTGGTCTTCTACACATGGATGTGTTTAAACAAAGGTTGGAACAGGTATGACCATATTTCATTACTAGCATTGTTTCTTTGCGTCATGCCATCCATCTTTTCCAAAYTGACTTCAATGTTGTCTATGTCTTTTTTTCTCAGGAATATGACACAACAATCATTATTACTACTCCAAGTGTTCCCTATAAAGGTGTGTTACTATTACAAATGGTTACCTTAATTGTGAGAAAATAGTTTATCTAATATAATTTTTGCTACTGTAAATAACCCAATAAGATTTTCTGAGTGCCTTCACAACATTTCTCAATTGTTCTGCYAATCCCCAAGTGCTGTATAACTGCACACAGCACAGTAGACAAACTTTTTATTTCGTTTATGAGGTATGGATCAAACTACCCTTTCTTAGAAAGAAATTGGAAGAAAATTATAGGAAGTGCRTATGAGTGCTGTATGCTCTGATAAAGTATGTGCTACCAACCAATCAGAAAGTGAGATTCATTATAACTGTCATTTTTATGATAGCCATCTTGAAAGGTCAAGAACAGAAAGAAGTAGAAATTCTTAATCCATTAGAGGTAAGTGAGAAGAACTTTAATAATAAAATTATTTCATTTAAATTATTGTGAACCAAGATAATGAAATTTATAAAATCTAAAGAAATCAGCTCAAGTATGTTTTCAATCCTACAGCTTCCTGATCCCTCAAAGGTGGAGGAATATAAAGAGCCATATGTGCTGGGTACCCTTGTGTTCCCAGAAGAATACATGGGAAAAATGATAACACTGTGCCAGGTATGACAAACTCTGTCTGTCTGTCTGTCTGT